AATTTTTTCGTTTCAGCTGCTAATCCTTTTTTTCTCCAATTTAGTTGTACGTAAAATGTAAGTATATTTTTTTATATAATATTATATATTGGTGATGGGTGTCCTACGTCCTACCGGGGGAGTGCCAAGATTACTTTGGTGCCCATAGCACGTACAGGCCGCTATATAGTTCTTCCTGAGGATGTGATATACACGCTAGATCTATGTCTGTACGTGAAGAGGCTCGCCTCTCTATGGCACCACCAAGGTAGTGCTTGGTCGCGCGAGCAACTATTAACTGGTAAGCAAAAATTTTCATTTTCATTCCAATGCAATTCATTTATTCTTTTTTCGTTTTAGCTCATCTCGATTTCTTCAACAGCAACGTAATTTCACTTATCTTATTTCAAAAAACAAAATAAAATTAATTGCTATTTTTATGTTTTAGTTCCATTCAACAATTCAATTCCATCCAAACGAAAAAAGTTACAACTGTGTATTTTTTTCATGTAGTTTTATTGTTCTTTTGTACTTTTTAATTTTTAAAATAAATAATTTTCAAAATAACTCAAATTTTTCTTTTTATTTCAATAATAAATATTTTCAAAATAAAATAAATTTTATTTTGATTCAAATAATGAATATTTTCAAAATAAATCAAAATTTATTTTTCATTTAAATAAAAATAATGCAAATTTTCCAAATGACTCAAATTTTATTTTTTGTTTAAATCTAAATAATGCAAATTTTCAAATAATTCAAATTTTCCAAATAATTCAAATTTTATTTTTTGTTTAAATCTTAAATATTTTCAAAATATATTCAAATTCTTTTTATTTATTTAAATAATTCAAATTTTCATTTCAGTAATAAATATTTTCAATTCACTAATAAATTATTTTCGTCGCGTTTCAAGAAATATTTTTATTTTACTACTAAAAATAATTATTTTACCAAAATATTATTTTATTTTACTAAAAATATACCATTATTTTACTAATCATTTTTTTTCATTTTACTACTAAAATTTGTAAAAATAATTCAAAATTTTATTTTTGTTCAAAACTAAATATTTTCATTTCAGGAATAAAATATTTTTGAAGTAACAAATTAATTTTCATGTCAAGAATAAATATTTTGTGGAAAAAAGCAAATTCTTTTATTTAATTCATTTCTTTTCGTTGAAGGGAAAGGATGAAAGGAAAATTGTTTTTTTTGTTCATTGATTTCAAAGTATGGAAAAAGGAACGAACAAACAAAAAACAATTTCACAAGTCTTATTGGATAAAAAATCGTTGAACACGTTCATTATCCCGATCAACGACATAGAGATTACCATGTTGATCGAAAGACAAACCAACGGGGTAGTCGAACTGATTTGCTCCTGCTCCTCGACCATTTCCACCCACAATTACAGTGCTTTCTTTCGCTCCTTGGGTCCAACGTATTACACGCTGATTCCCCTGGTCTGCTACATAGAGTCTACCCAACCTATCAACGACGATTCCGACAGGAAACTGCAATTGTGTCAGAGCACTCCCTGCGCCTTGTCCTCCAGCGACCACAATACCTTCTTTTGCACCTTTCTTCCATTTCATTACACGATGATTGTCGCTGTCTGATACGTAGACTGAATGATCTCGATCGACAAAGAGAAATGTCGGTCCGTTGAGTTGATTGAGTTCAGCACCTTGTCCACTACCGCCAGCCACGAGAGTGCCAATGTTATCACCCAATTTATATCGTCTTACTTCATGTTTTCCATAGACAGAGACGTAGAGATATCTCTGCTCATCCATTGCTAATCCAAAACAACCGATGGTATCGATGAGTATTTCACCTTGTGTTGTACCACTACTACGAGACCATCGTACAACTCGGTGATTCCCTGCATCACAAATAATGAGACTATCCGTCTCTTTGTCAATTAATACATCAGTTGAAACACTCAATTGATTCAATCCATTTCCTTGGAATCCACCAGCAGCAACAACTTGTCCATTCGTTGTATCACCGTTCTTCCATTGCACAATACGACAATTACCGTAGTCAGCAATAACCACTGTTTGGTCATCATCAACAAAGAGACCATGAGGGTAGTTGAGTTGATTAGTGCCACCCCATCGCCCGTTGCCTCCAGCAATAGTCCCTCCGTTCTGTGACCATTTAGCATTAGCAGGAATATTAACTAGAAGAGAAAACATAAGAATAAAAGGAGATCTCTCCCTCTATCGCGCTGAAGTGTGGGCGTGATTCTTCTGCTAATCTATACCCACACCCAATCATGAAGATAATTAATCGATCAATCGAAATCGACCCTTAAGAATAGGTTTCTCAGTGGTGAATTGCATTATGGCTATACAAAAACTATTTAGTACCTATAAATTGAAGATTATTCGTGCGATATACGGATTCTTGCTTCGCATCGCATTTCGTGTACGAGTGAAACTCGAATACCATCTAGTTTTAGCTCTTAATTTACGGAACACCAACACCATTTTTTAGGAGAAAACAACCTGATCGGTAGACGAACACTTTGACTAATTCTGAAATTCAATCACAGGCTATTATAGCTTTCAGAATCATACCCAATTTCATTAAGTAAGCTATGAAATTTCTTCATTTGCTTTAAAGAGAAAATAGTAGACCGCAATTTTTCCAGCTATAACTGATTCTGCTCATCTCATACCAGTACACTTTTCTTACAGGCGACGTCCGTGCTTATATGCAAAGAAAAAAGTAGTTAAGGAGCGAAAGACAATCTGATAATTCTTAGGAGAAACTTGCATTATGAGAGTAAAAGGAGAATTAATTTCATAGATGAATTGATGAAGAACGCAATACAACACAACATTTCGCACAACACAAGAATGCAACAGCACAATATTTCTGCTTTTACTAGACGGATACCGTACCTGTGCGTATATCTCCCGATGCCGATCCTGTATCTGTGCGTATCTCTTCCGATGCCGATACCGTATCTGTGGGTATATCTTCCGATGCCGATCGCATATCTGTGCAGACAACGTTGTCGGCGCTACCAGTGTTAGTATAACCAGCATTACAGGTGCATACCATTGCAGATGTAGTTGGGTCTTCTGAACAAAGAGCATTTGGATCATATCCGCCATTGTTGTCGTCATCGTAGTAGCCTAAAAGAGAGTAGTGGTTGTGAGGGTGTTCGTATCAGTGCCTGTGCGAATGTCGATGTGGGCATGGCTAGTATCGTTCTTTGCTAGTCGACATGGATGATAACTCAATTTCGTGGAGAGTAGGAATTGCGTGGAATTCCCTACATGTGCTATTCGTCCGAATTCCTGA